TGAGAGGGGGCCAAAATAACGTATTTTAAAAAACCCCCTATGTAGTCAGTTGGCCCTTCTGCCTTTCTGCGCCAACGTCCACCCTCAGACACTGGGGTTTCCCTGTGCGCTCCCCTTCCCCCCGCTGCCATGGCAGCGGGGGAGGGGGGGGGGTGGTAGGAGCAGTGGAAGCTCCCCCACAGGGGGTTTGCCTCATTTCGCAGTCGATATGGTGTTTCTTCCCCGAGTGAGGAAACACTAACCACCGCAGCAGCAAGGGGGGCCCTTTTCCGGGTTTGGGCCCTGGAGCGGACCTCAAACAACGGGCCCTTGGGGAAAAATTGGACAGCACCCTCCCAAAACCGAGGTAACAATCCCCTTGATACGGGGCAACAAATTGAACCTTTGGCCCCAACTAGCTGAATTTGCCCTTAAAAGGGCCCTGTCATGCCCGGCCAGTACGTGGGCATGGGGAGCGCGTGTTTAGTGCGGAAAGGGGGTTTTTTTTGGTAACTCCGCGGGGGACAGGGACTGTCCCCCCAAAAAGTTTGGAGGGGAACTCCGTTTGTAAAATTTAAATTTCAGGCGTGGATTGGGTCTGGGATTTCAAACCACCATTCCTAAACACAACTGCCCAAAATTTCCCCGCCATGAATCATGCCCCAAAAATTTTTAACCGGGCCGTGCCACTTTCAAGTTCCTCACCCGCGGTGGGTTCCATTTTTTGTCTTTGGGTCTTGCAGATTCGGGCCTCCCATTGCGTGCCGGGGCCCCTAATTGCCTTTGGGCCCCTGAAACCACCCCCTCTCCTGCTGCCGGGCCCGAAAATCTGTCATGGGTCCCTGAAAGGGGCCCCCCCATTGCGCTGTCTCCCCCGCCACACCCCTGCCGGGCCCATTTTTCAGGTTCCCCCACACTGCTGGGGGGTTTTCCTTTTTGGGTATTTGTGCGGGCAGTTAAAGGGGCCTTTTCCCATTGCGGGCGCCAGGCCCAAATCGCCTGGGCCCCGGGCCCCCGCCTCCTCAGGGCTGCTGCCGGGCCCCGTAATCTGTCAGGGCCCCCCGTACGGCCCCCAAAAAGGGGCTTTTCTCCATCGCCACACTCTCCCTTTGTGCATTTTCAGGTCTCCTCACACTGCTGGTGTGTTCCTTTTTGTCATAGGGTGGTGGCAGTTTAGGGGCCCCTTCCCATTGCGGCTGCCGGGCCCCCGTAACTGCCAGGGGCCCCCCCCGCCCGCCTTTTTCATGTGCGGGCCGGGCCCCAAAAGTCCCCTCAGGGGTTCCTGTACGGCCTCCCTTTGCTGCTGTCTCCATCGCCAAAACCCCGCCATGTGCCATTTTTTCCAGGTCCCCTTTCACCCGCTGGTGGGTTCCTTTTTTTTTTTTTTCATAGGGGCGGGCCCAATTCGGGCCCCCCAAATTGCTGCGGGCCAGGCCCGAAATCTGAAATTGGGCCCCGTCCCGGCCTCCTCATGCTGTTTCCGGGGCCCCAAGTCTCCCATGGGTCCCTGAAAGGGGCCTCCCTTTTTGCGGCTTTCTCCATCGCCACACCCCCGCCAGTCCCACTTTCAGGTCTCCTCACCCTGTTTGGTGGTTTTTCCATTTTGTCAAAAGGGTTCGGGCAGATTACGGGCCTCCCATTGCTGTGCCAGGCCCGTAATCTGCCTATGGGCCCTGTACCGCCTCCTCATGCTGCTGCCAGGTCCAGGTCTCTCATGGGTCCCGTGTAACGCCTGCCCTTCCCATTGCTGCTGTCTCCAATCGCCACACTCTGCCCATGTTCCACTTTCTAGTTGTAGTGCTCCTTCACACTGCTGGTGGGTTCCATTTTGTCATAGGGTGCTGCGTATGAGCTCGCCATATGCTGCTAGCCTCCACCGCCACACTGTGGCTTCCACACTACTGTTTGTTGTTGGCACCGTGACCTTGGCCGGCAAATGAGTGAAGTGTGGCGGTTGATTCTAAGATCGACCGGCAACTCATCTGCTGCATGTTATCATAACTGACTGACAGTATTATTTCTCTTCCACAAAGACAGACTCCAAGGGGCAAGTGAAATGCATGCTTAAATTGGGTTGAGATCAGGTGATTGACTCGGCCGTTGCATAATATTCCACTTCTTTTCCATCAATAGCTCCTGGGTTGCTTTTGCAGTGTATTTTGGATCATTATCCATCTGTACTGTGAAGCACCATCCAATCAACTTTGCTTCATTTGGCTGAATCTGGGCTGACAGTATCTCTATAAACACTGCAGAATTCATCCGGCTGCTTCTGTCTTCTGTCACATCATCAATAAACACCAATGACCCAGTGCCACTGGAAGCCACGCATGCCCATGCCATCACACTGCCTCCACCATGTTTTATAGATGCGTTGTGTGCTTTGGATCATGAGATGTTCCAAGCCTTTTCCACACTTCTTTCTTCCGTCATTCTGGTACAGATTAATCTTAGTTTCATCCATCCAAAGAATGCTTTTCCAGAACTGGTCTGGCTTTTTTAGATGTTTTTTGGCAAAGTCAAATCTGGCTTTTCTATTCTTCAGGCTTATGAATGGTTTGCACTTTGTGGTGAACCCTCTGTATTTGCTCTTGTGAAGTCTTCTCTTGATTGTAGACTTTGATAATGATACCCCACCTCCTGGAGAGTGTCCTTCACTTGTCCGGATGTTGTGAATGGGTTTTTTCTTTACCATAGAGAGGATCCTGCGATCATTCACCGCTGTTGTCTTCCATGGACGTCCATACCTTTTTGTGTTGCTGAGCTCACCAATGCATTTTTCATTCCTCAGAATGTACCAAACTGTTGATTTGGCCACTCCTAATGTTGCTGTTATCTCTCTGATGGATTTGTTTTGTTTTTGAAGCCTTACAATGGCCTGTTTCAGTTGCATGGATAGCTCCTTTGAACGCATGAAGTAGGTTCATAGCAATAGATTCCAAATGCAAATACCACACTTAGAATTAACTCCAGACCTTTTACCTGCTTAATTGATGAAGAAATAATGAAAGTGTAGCCCGCACCTGGACATGAAACAGCTTTTGATTCAATTGTCTGATTTACTTTTTGTTTCTCGAAAACCCTTCCTCCAATTTGGATGTACATACCCTCAAATTAAACCTGAGAGTGTGCACTTTCAGCCCATATCCATTATATACCTATAGCTTGAATATGTTTTGGTAAATACCTGACAAAACTCAAATTTTTCTTGTGTTCAAATATATATGGTCCTAACTGTATATTATAAGCAAGGAATTGTCAAACAAAGGGCATAAGGACTGGATATTTTAGAAATTCCATTTGCTGGAGGGCAGTGATTTTAATAGTTTTTAAAGCTAAACAAGCTAAACGCCTGCCTGGCACATATGTACTGTATGTTGTATACAACATACTACAGCAAAACTGACATTTATGAATAAAAAGAAACGTTGTTTAAATTGACCACTTGCCCTCTAGAGGACTTACCCCCCTTCATGACCAGCCCTCTTTTTGCTACTCAGCGCTGCACTAATTCAACTGATAATTGCGCGGTCATGCAATGCTGTACCCAAACAAAATTTACGTCCTTTTTTACACACAAATAGAGCTTTCCTTATTTGATCACCTGTGTGCTTTTTATTTTTCATGCTATAAACAAAAGAAGACTGAAAATTTTGAAAAAAAAAAATATTTTTTACTTTATATATATATAAAAAATATATAGTAAACTCAAAGTTAGTTATAAATTTAGACCAAAATGTATTCTGCTACATGTTTTTGGTTAAAAAATCCCAATAAGTGTATATTGATTGCTTTGTGTGCAAGTTATAGCGTCTACAAACTATGGTATAGATACTGCAATTTACGTCCTTTTTTTGCTATACAGTGCTGCACTAGTTTAACTGACAACTGCGTGGTCATGCAACACAGTACATAAATAAAATTTATGTCCTTTTTTTTACACAAATAGAGCTTTCTTTTGGTGGCATTTTATCACCCGTGTGCTTTTTATTTTTGGCGCTATAAACAAAAAATATTTTGAGAAAAAAATACAATATTTTCTCATTTCTGTCATAAAAAAAATTCATAAAAAACTAAAATTTCATCATAAATTTAGGCCAAAATGTATTCTGCTACATGTTTTTGGTTAAAAAATCCCAATAAATGTATATTGATTGCTTTGTGTGAAAGTTATAGCGTCTACAAACTATGGTATTGATAATGGAATTTACAGAGCTTTTACTTTCTGACTGCCCATCACATTTCTTAAGGTGCTAAAATTCCAGGATAGTACAAACACCCCCAAATGACCCCTTTTTTTTAAAGTAGACACCCTAAGCTATCTGCTGAACGGCATATTGAGCCATGGAATATTTTTTTTTTGCCACAATTTTCTGAAAAATGACAAAAACTTTTTTTACACAAAGTTGTCACTTAAATGATATATTTCTAGCACAAGCCATGGGTATATGTGAAATTACACTCTAAAATACATTTTGCTACTTCTACTGAGTATGGGAATACCACATATGTGAGACTTTTTTATATTCAAATATTTTTATTGAAATTTCAACATACAAAGAAGAAAAAAAGAAAAAATAATATGTGATGATCAACCTTGTTCGATTCACATTTGGGAAAAACAATATGTGGAAAGAAGAGTTAAGAGAGAAGAGAAGGTTCTCCACCTAGTGGCCGGGGAACCTATACGTCCTTAATTTATTTACATGAGAGGTATGCTCAGTATGTTGTGAACCGTTCTAGAAAACTAGTGAGGTGTAAAGATGGGGAGAACATGAGGTTGAGGGGGGGAAAGGAACATAAGAAAAAACATGAAGAGGGGGGAGGGGAGGAAAAGCACCAATGAAGTACGGGTAGGAAGTATTGTACTGATATCAGATAGTAATCATGTTATTACGCATCTGGGGTTGTTTAACCATCGCGACCAATGGATTGTAAATTTGTGGAAGTAGGAATTATAAATTGCTATTCTTCTCTCCATTGCACATTGGAGGTTAAGGTCAGATATGAGGCGGGACACTGATGGGATGGTGATGGATCTCCATAGTCTGGTGATGTTAGTTTTTCGTGGCTGCTAAAATGTGGATGATAATGGTGCGTACATTTATAGGGAATGTGTCTATTCCAATGTGGAGAAGCGCCAAGGCGGGATTTGGAGTTACTAAAGTTCCTGTGAGTAAGGAGATTATCTGGAAGACCTTGTTCCAGTATGATTTGAGCGATTTACATGCCAAAGAATGTGGAGAAGTGTTCCTTTTTCCCCGCAATGTCTCCAGCAGGTATGTGAATGTTGAGGGTAAAATAAGGATAGTTTGGTTCGGGTTAAGTACCAATGATGTAGTATTTTTAAATATGTTTCCCAATGGGAACTACATTTGGAAGCTTTAAAGGTGGTGGCGAATGTTTTTTCCCAAAATGTTTGGGGTTATTGTTTGGCAAAGATTCTGTTCCCAATTGATTAAGGAAGAGGTATATGTGGTAAATTGTGTCTCGGTAATGAGTGAATAGAAAGTCGAAATTCCTTTCTTAGGATACTGTTTCCTTTGAAAGTGCTGTGCGGTTGCAGGAATTTCTATTTCAAATGGTATTTTTGTTTTGTAAATGGAGTGGGCTATGCGCATATAAGTAAATTGTTCCCTATCAGGAAGACGAAATTTCCGCTGGATAACAGAGAAGGAGTCTAATTTGGGGTTTGTGAAAATATCCTTCATGTGAAGTATACCGAGGCATCTCCATGCTGATATGTTTAAGTGAGGGGTGAGGAAGTGTAGGGATGATAAGGAAGTGGGGATTCTCACATTGCTTGTGTTTCTTTGAGCGTGGGTTGAGAAATCAAACCAAGCATTTAGAGAAGCCTGTATGCAGTAGTGTGTTTGTAGGGTTTTAGGTTGAGCTGCTCTGGGTATGAATAGTATGTCTGTTATTGAGTGTGGTAGGCCCAAGGAGGTTTCCATTTTGGTCCAAATCTTCTCATCGGTAGGGTGCCACCAGAAGAAGAGCTGGTCCAGCAGAGCGGCTTGGTAATATGATTTTAAGTGAGGAAGACCCGCTCCACCTCTGGAGGGAGGGCGTAGTAATAGGTTCGTAGAACATCTGGGTCTTTTTAGAGTTCCATAGGAATTTGTTTAGTATAGCTTGAAGTTTAGCGAAAAAGGTGTGGGTGATTGGTATAGGAAGCGTCCGAAATATATATAGTATTTTAGGTAATATGCACATTTTCATGGTTGCTACTCTACCTAGAGTCGATAGTGTGGATGTGCGTAAGCACTTTAGTTCTTGAGGAATGGTTTCCAATAAAGGCTTGAAATTAGTTGCGTAGAGTTGGTTAGTAGTTGCAGTGATTTTGATCCCTAGATAGGGTATGCTATGTGTTTCCCATGTAAAGGGAAAATGTGTGGATATTAAGGCTTGGGTTTCAATAGGTGTGTGCAGGTTTAGTATAGATGATTTTGGTTCATTAAGTTTGTAGTATGAGACATCTGCGTATCTAAGTATATGTGTACGTATTGAGTGAAGTGAATTATAGGGGTTCGTAACCATAAGGATAATATCGTCTGCAAAAAGACTTAATGCAGGCCATAGATGGGTCGAAAATCGGCCGATTTTTCGGCCGAAAATAAAATCGGCCGATTTTCGGATCGTTAGTGGGCGATTTGGTCGGCCGTTTTTCGGTATTTTGGCCGGTTTTTTTTTTCGGTAAAGTTGGAAAAAAATCGGCCGATTTTGCCGATCGGCCGATTTTCGCGGCAATTAGTGGGCAAATTGGCCGATTTTTTACCGATAAAAAATCTGCGCATGAGCAGTGACCTGCAAGAGGAAGACAAAAAGAAGAAAAAAGAAGAAGAGGAAGACGATGAAGAAGAGGATGAAGAAGAAGAAGAGGAAGAAGAAGAGGATGAAGAAGAAGAGGATGAGGATGAAGAAGAAGAAGAGGATGAGGATGAAGAAGAAGAAGAAGAAGAGGATGAGGATGAAGAAGAAGAGGATGAGGATGATGATGAAGAAGAGGATGAGGATGATGAAGAAGAGGATGAGGATGAGGAAGAAGAAGAGGATGA